TAGGGCATCTGCAGTATAAAGGGCCTTAAAAATCTTTCTACACTCTCCATATTAATAGCTGAGGGTTTCAAAGGTAAAACAAAGGCTCCTGTCTACTGGTACCGTGCCTATGGCTTCCTGTGTTGCAGAATTGAATACACTGTGTAAATCACACATATGCACTTCAAATATGGCCTTTGATTTTCAGAACCAGAATTTGAGATTTCTGAAGCAGAAAAGAACCCCTTTTCGGATGGCCACAGGAGAAGCCGTGATTTCCCTGTGCACGAATCACCAGATGGCAACATCTCTTGGGTGCAGATCCAAGATACTCCATGAGATCCACCACATTTGTTGCTTGGCTTTCCCGTCCTGCTTAAATCTATTTGTAAGACCTCTTTCAGCCCAGCTCCACCATGGTAACTCAGAGGATGCAATTAGCACCAGAGTCTTTAGTCACCTACTAGGCAAACCCAAACATGTGCTTCCAGCAGGGCTTTAAATAGCTGCCCAGGCTGGGGGCCCATTGTTTGATAGCTCAAATGCGAACTCTGAAAATAGGAGGCTTGGGCAGGATTTCCACTTTTAGAGGAGTAGGAAATGAAATCATGTTTTGGTAAAGCTCTGTTTAGGGGTGTTTTGTCTCCATATGTCTTGTTTAATGAGAAAAAGTCCAAAGAGTTCTGCTGCCGCCCTTTTAACCACACCCAGGGTCAAAGGCACAGGTACAGATGAGATGGACAGGTCTAAGGCCATACATTATCTTGCCTGCTAATTGCTTACAGCTCAGAAATCTCCACCTTTTCTTCTTCTCATTGGTTTGCATCGTTGTTGTGTAAAGAGGAGGCAGTGCTGTCATAGGAATGCGCCTCATCTCTTCAGACACAAGGACAGAGAGACCAGAACCCTGTGTTCTTCATTTTTTGCTCTTATGTATTGCCCAAAGCAAGTTTCAGTAAGTGGCCCAGTAAAGAACTCTTTAGTAGACTTGTCTCACTTTAAATCATTTTTACAGCGTGGTTTTACGTGAAGATGAAGAATTCACTTTATTGCAACAGAAGTCGTCACTGCGCCCATCTCTACATAGACTGAAAGAGTTTTTCAATTTTGGTGTTTTCCCTGCAATATGTTGGCACTTCTCAAAACAGCTCCAAGTAGTGAATTGTTTCCAAGTTTAAATTTAAAGTAACTGAGGAGCAGAAGGAGAAATGGGGTAAAATGCAGTGCAGGAAGAATTAAGGGATGGGTTATTTGACTTTTATCACAGTTAGGCCAGCATAAATGATCCAATTTCATACTGTGGCAAAAAAAAAAAAAAGTATGAAGAAGAGCAGCCTGGCTACACACATGAATTTATTCTGTGCAGTCTGAGCCATCAGCAAGGCAGAAACACTGTTGTGTTTGTCAGAAACTGGAACGGGAATGCTACTGGATAATACCAATGTGGGGATGTTCAATATGTCATCATTTGCTTTTCATTGTGATTTTGGCCAAAGGACCTGATTTCTGGAGAAGGCTGAAGGTGTTCAGGAGGGGTGCTGGGCTGAACCTGATGGCATTGTAAGGCATGGAGATTTCTCTTCCCTTCTGTGGGTGCGCTCATGTGCGTGATTTATTCAGTTACACGTGTGTTCAGCCTACCAAAATGCAAACCTTTATAAATAGCCTATAAATAGGCTCATCACTCTTCCTGACACAGTCAGGGTTTTTTTTCTGCTTTTTAATGAGTCAGGAGGTTTTTTTGTTCCACTTCTAGGGAAGGTGTCTGAGGGAGTTAGACCAGTCGATAGTCAAATGCCCTGATGCTTGCAGAGCACATGACTTGGTGCTTAACTCATGTTAGGAGAAAGCCTAGCTGTCTGCCAGCCGGAGCAGAAAAGAGATCATCAAGAGTCTGTTCTGGCATTGCCCAGAGCTCTTTGTGATCTTGAGCAAGTTACTTGACCTCATAAAACCAGATTTGGGCTGCTTTTACAGATGATAACCTCTTATCTCATGAGAGTTCCAGAAACCTTGGCTCACTTTTGCTAATGCTCTGGGAAAAAGAGCTGTTGAAGAAGTTCAGATACCAGTCTAGGCCAAGGAAGCACCAGTCGTTGATGTGGAGAGCAGCATTGCCCCACCAATGGTTCCTTCAGAAGGTTCATGTATTGGGGACACGTTTGCTTACGTCGCTCAAAGCAGAGGGGCAGAGACCTCTTGAGCAATCTTTGTAGTACTGGCCAAGCTTGTTACTTACTGGCTCCTCGTTCATTTGAACTGTTTGCCAAAAGTCAGAACCTGTCTCAGATTCTTACCCCCTGAGTCTGACATCTTCTCAGACGTAGGGAAGGAGAACATCAAAGCGTTGTGAGCGGTTGCCTTTTCGAAGAACATTCCCTAGGGTTTAGCAGGATGATTGTTTGATCCTGTTAGATGAAAACGGATCATCAGCCCTGTCACCTCCCTTTCAAGGCTGTATTGGATATCTGGGGGATTTTCAAGAGAACCATCCATGGCTGCAGATCAGGACATGGCCTGTTTGTCACCTCCCTTGCATTGCATTGAACAGTCCTGTAGCTTTGCTTAATTTTGAAGCTGATGTTTCACAAAGGCTCATCCAAGGGAACTTTGTGTACATCCATGATGTACCAGTTTAAAGAGACCATGTGTCTTGCCTGAGGTTTCTCTCGTTGTCATGATGGAGGAGCTTTTGCTGTCCCGCAGAAGAGTTATTTGGCTTCCTGTCAAGGAAATGACTATCCCAAAGTGTTTCTCTGTAGCTGCTCACGGGCTTCTGCTTTCTATCCTGAAAGTCCACTGGATTTCTGGCAGAGTAGCTATGGTCTAGGTTATTTTGCAGGTGGAATTCTTATGGGAATAGACAGAAAATAGTTTGGGGGGGCGGAAGTTTAGCTTTTCTCATGCTGTTAAGGAGTCTTTTATTACAAATGTTTTTTAACTCTGCATTCTAGTGAACTTCTCCTTTGCATGAGGGAGAGCCAAGTTTGCAGCACTTGAGTCAGCTCCCGTAGGGTAGCCCAGCATTCTCAGCAGGCTGCACGCAACTTGGGTTTTAAACAAAATTAGTAAGTCTTACCATCTCCTTACTCTGATGTCCTTAAGAAGATGAACAAAGCAAGAAGGTGGAGGGATATACACTTCTGAACTGCATTAAAGGCGAGTTCCCCCAAAGTTGTACCGTCTTCCTGCTTCTCCCTTGAATATTTGAGGCTCCTGCTGTGAAGACGGGTGGAGTTTGTGAATGGGTTTCAGCCGGGCTGCTGAGATCCCTCCTGCTGCCCGCGCTGTTGACTGGTCATATATTAGAATGCACGTGCAATATTTCCAGGAACAGTAGAAGCAGGCCTTCCTACCCTTATCGTTTTTTATAACATCAATACTAGTAAATCTAGTCCTTCAGCTTTCACATCATCCTCTTGCTAATAGATGCCTGGTGGTGGATGGAAAGAAATTTTCTCACTTTTCAGCTTCAGAGCCTCACGGTTGTATGAAGCTGTTGCAGTGACATCCATGTGTGTTTTTGTCCTCCCCTTCTACAGCTGGCTTTGATATCTTTCCAGCTGCATTTGCTCCCCTTAGGAAGCCGTGCAGCCTCGTCTCTGACAAGTTTTTGGTGCTACCCATGGTGTCCTAATAGCAGTTTTGACCTTTCAATTAACTTCAGGATCGCCTCTTTCAGCAGACAAAACCTGTATACATGCCAAAAGCCTCAGAAGAGATTTGGAAGGTTGGCTGAAAGACCATGAAGATTAGGGACATATTTTTCCTTTTGTCAGGGAAATCAACAGCAAAGGGCCCCGACACTAGAAGGAAACTTTCCCACTGACCACAAATAGGGGCTTAAATTGAATTTTCAAGCCTTTAAAAATAAATCGTCATTTTGTATTTAATTAAGCAGGGTTTCATGAATGTAGTAGTATGCTGAGGTCATGGGCAAAAAGAGGCTTTTCCAGTAATTAGTGCAGGGTCCATGCTGTTCTGGCAAAAACAGCCATGACGTCAGTCCAAGACTGGAACAAGAAGCTGTGCTGCACGGTGAACTTGAAACACAAACCTTATTAGTAAAGGGGTATGTCTGACAATTACAAGTGCTGGCTGTGTTGGACATATAGTATATTTTTCCTTTCAAAATTGCAAACAGGTGTTTGTGGGTTTTGGTTTTGTGCGGGGTTTTTGGGTTTGGTTCCCCCCCCGCCCTCCCTGTTTGGGGCTTTTTGTTTGTTGGTGTTTTTGTTTTTAGTTTCTGAGTCAATGAAATTGCTGCTATGCCAGGGCATCCTTTCTCTTGCTTCTCTTGCCTTAAACAAACAAACCCGAAAGTTACCAAACTTCCATCCTTTTTGTTTTGTAAATATGGAAAGTGGCCATTTCCATGTTTTGATTTAGCAGAAGCAGCTTAGTTTTAGTTCTGTCATGTGAACCCAAATGCAACAGCGAGCCTGAGATGGGAGAGCACGCACAGGGCATGCCTCGGCAGGTCACGCTCCCGTAGCCACTGCCGCTTTTTAGGTCTTTGTTTAAGGTGTTTTATGTACAAGCCAAGTGTTGTGACAGCATTTGGGGTATGTAGTTTTGCAGCACTCAGGTTCTGGTTTCTGGTGACTTACTGGAGTCCTGTGGAGCTGGAAAAGAGAAGTTTGACTGTATAGTCTAGCTGTTTGGACTGTAATTTCCATTGGTACGTTAGCAAAATCTTCACTTGAATTACTTGCCGCTCTTGAGTTCATTTGTCACTGATCAAAAATAGCCTGGTCAGATAAGGGTGGGTTATATTTCTTGGTTTATATTGTGACAGAGAAGAGTTACACATCTTTTCCTTTTAAGGTCTATAAGAAATACTTACCTCTGATACATATAAATTCCCAAGATATTGACGGTCGCAATTCTAAATTAGACACTAACTTGTTCTTACCTAATTTCATGTAAAGACTATGTGTGTCAAAGGAGTTGCTCAGTTGCGTTTCTTCAGTGCATGCAATTGTTCTTGTTTTACCATTTCCCTTGGTTTTATTTCGCAGGCCATGACTGCTGTGAGACAGTGAAGGTGGCACTTTGTGCCTCTAGAGAAGGTCATCCTGTTCTGGTTGTGGCAGAAGAGAGTTTCCAGTTTGTCCAGGATGAAGCCTACGATGCTGCACAGTTTCTGGCCACCTGTGCCGGCAACCAGCAGGCGCTGAATTTCACCCGATTCTTGGACCGGTCGAGACCACCTGCCGCTGACGTGGACTTTTTGGATGAGAAAGTGGCTTTGGCATTTCGACACCTGAAACTGCCGGCAGAATGGAACGTGCTGGGAGCGGACCAGTCCCTGACCGGTGAGGACCTCTGGGGCACGTGTGAGATTTGTGGGTGGGGAGAGGTGAAAAGCCTGGAGAAAGGGTTCTCTGCTTTGGGAACCCTCAACGCATCTTTCAAAACACGTGTCAGTCTCTCTGCTTAGAAGTGGGACGTGATGTGCACCAGCATGTCCCTCCTACGCCTGCGTCCTATGCTTTGCATTTCAGACATGTTAAAATATATAAGGCACTGATGTTTTCTCTGTGTCTTCTCTTATGAAGTAGCACAAGCTGTTGTAAATGGTCAGTGTTGTAAAACACACCCTGAAGGGGTATTTTTGGTGTGTGCTTTTGCAGTGGTATGTGTATCAGCCTCACATTTCCGAGATTCCTTGAAAGAAACCTGTGTGTAGAAAGTCTGATGCTCCTGGGAATATTATCTTTGTGCTACAAAATTGGCACTTTTGGTAAATGTTGATTTTACAGCACATACGCAAAATGACTGTAACGTGTAAAATACATCTAATTTTTCTTGGAGAAGTTGGGGGTCTGTCCCTGTGTCGCATCCCTGGTGGTTCAGCGGCTGGGCAAACACAGGCGTTCCCCAAAATAAGCCTGGACAATTTTGCAAATAAAAGAGGGTGAAGATGGGAAAGCCTGACCCTTAACCACAGCAGCGAGGGCTACTGAGGGCTTGTAGTAAACCCCAAGGCTGGCCCAAAGTCTCTGGCGACTACTGAAGCAGAAGTGCCGAGGTGTTCGGGATGCTGTGGCATATCCATGTCCTTGGAGCTCTGCTGCTTTTTTTTGTCACAGGGAAGCTTAAGGAAACATCTTGAGGGACTGGGGGGCTAGTTCCAGTGTGTACAGATTCTTACTGTAAATTTTCAGGTATTTTGGCAAATAGTTTGATGTAAGGAATGTGGCAACGAGGCATCCGTTATCTTTTATAGGATGCAATGGCATAAACCCTTGCAGAGGAATGGGATGTGGCTTGCTTGGCGCAGCAGGCTCAGTTCTGTTCGCCACAACAGGGTTTTCTGCAGGAGTTTTTCTTGCTTTATTTCTCCTTGACTTGCTGACTGCTTTTTTAAACGTGAATCCACAGGCAGGCAATTGAAGCAGTGTTAGCAGGCATTAAAAGATTTGATCATATTTAATGATTTATGATTAGAAATTCAGATGCTGCCAGATGTTGACAAGGAGATGAACACTTGGTATTTTTTTCCCTCTGTGTGTAAGACACTGTTTTTTTATGCATTTTTTAAAAATTGTGATAATGCAGACATTTCTGGTTTAAGTGATAAAAATACGAAGTAGTCTGCAGTTAACGAAAACTTTGATTGAAGCTCTGAATTGTTGCTGATTTTCCAGGAGGGCTGAGATCCGGTTTCTCTTTTTGACTTTGATTATTCCTTGGAAAATCAGCGCTTAAGGAAATTGGGCCATAAGATTTACACTGATTTGCTCAGCATAGCCTTGTGTGGCTGGAAGTCATGATCGTGTGGGGCTCTGAATGCTAATGGACCTGCAGAGCATCCATTGCATCCACGGTGAGGAGGGGGAGTTCTGTAGTGCTGAGCTCTGTAATGCTGAGTGTTTTGGCATCTTGTGGGGAGGTTTTTGTAGACAAAAGTGTAAGTGAATAAATATAATGGCACTAAATGCAACCTTCAGCCAAGAATATTGGTGCTATAAAATATGTTCCCTTGCAGTGGGTCCTTTCATAAGTAACGGAAAAAAGACAATTTATTGATGTCTTGGTCTGTCTTTCGTCTTCTGATCACCTTTTTTGCTAGAGGCAGATTTATCTGGTAACTTTTTTGCAGTGAGATAAGTATACATAGGGAATTTGTGGGAATTTTTGTGATTGTGATGGGAAAGATTTGCATGCGTAAGCACCCTTCTGGTCACGAAACTCTCTTTTGCTAGAGCGAGATGGAAGAGATGTCCCTGATTTATGATGGAGCACGGGATTAGAAAAACCTCTGTGGTAAAACATAGCACCCTATACTGGTGCTTATGGGTTAATTTGTGTGTGTGAGCAAGAAAAGCACAGCAAAGGTTGAAACTGTGGGAGCATTTGAACAATTAGGCGTATTCTGGCCAGTGCCCCTCTAATGGGACACCCCGTCCTGCGCTGTGTCACTACCTATGAACAGCTATTCCGATTCGTATTTCACATTTTGCTAAATGTCAGCACCAGATACTTCAAATAACCTTCTCAAAGGAGAAAATACTGTAGAAATGAGAACAAAAGAAAATGTCAGATCCCTTCTTGAAAGATTTTTAGTGCTGCCTGTAAGCTGGCATGTCTCTGTGGCCTCTTGTGGGATGGAAACAAAACGCTGCTGTTTAGCAAAACCTCTGAACACAGGAGCGAGCCGGGAGCCTCAGCCAGCTCGCCGAGTGCCGAGCTTGATGGCGAACTGCTGTTCAGAGATGGCCGTTGCTGTCAAGCACGTTTAAAAGTTGATTTTCCTAAGGGCTGAAGTAGGAGTCGAGCTCAGTTAGGAAGTAATGGCCCTTCTGTGGGCAGAAGCTGGGTAGAAGATCCACCATCAAGCACAACTCTGCTGATTTTTGAGGAGGGGATGTCTCTGTGTGGAGGCTTCTCCTTGCTTTTGCCTGCACCCAACCCTGACCAGTCTTTGAGCAGAGGGTAGGGAGTTCGTTGCCGTCGCACACCCCAGAGGGCAGAGAAGCTGCTAAAAGTAACACCCAACTCCATCTGCTGAGGCCATTTAACGACTCTTTTGTGTCAGTAGTGTTGTGCAGTGCAAAGTGCGTGGTCAAGGTCCAAACGCCGAGGAGGTGGCACGTAACACCCCCTGTGCTCCTGGGTACCAGCAGGCTGGTGGTTGCATCATTAAAATGATCTTCAGCGGTTTGCATTCATCCATTGTTATTCCATATGTTATTGCAGCTTTCCCCCTGCCCCCCCTTTTCTAACACGTTAGTAAGTTTGACTTTTTAGTACGGAAAAGTGCAGGATTCCTGTGGACAAAGCTATGTGAGAATTGTCTACTTGCTTATGTTTTCATTACCAAACCAAGGTCTTCATTTTTAAGAGTTTGCCATTGCTCAAGATTAAAGGTATTGTACAGTCATATAGCCAAATTGTTAAGAGCATGTTCATTTCAGCTGCGGGTTAGAAATACCTCCAAGATTATTTAAAACTGCTGGAGGACATTTGCAAACGTTCCAGTGCCCTATATATATTTTTATTTATTTGTATGTAACCTACTTAAGTTGGCTGTTAACATTCAACATAGAAGTTTGTTCAGCTTCAGTAATCCTGGTAATCTTGATCTCTTTCACAGTCTTTACATTTATTCCTTCGTTATCTCTTTAGACAACATTTTCATTAAAACAAATTGAAAACAAAGTGAACATTTCTTCCTGAATTGTCATTAGTGCGTTTTCAAAACCCCACTATGTTCATTTGCAGTATTCTCATTTGCTTATTTTTCATTGGTCTGGAACAGCGAAAGATTTTATTGCATAAAAAGAAACTGTCCAAAGATTAAATGCATTGATTAATCCCCACAGTAATATTATTTTAAGGATGTGGTTGACTTGCTCAAATCAAATATTTATTAATTTATATTACTCTGGTAGGATGTGAAAGACTAAAGTTGTGATCACAAGTTCTTACTTCTTCACCCAAAATCCACTGAAAAAAAAGTGGATTTGTTTGGACCTCAGCAAGCTTTGAATGAACCCTTTGTGCCAAATTTAACACCAGACTATGTTTTTGTGGGATTGGGGCTTCGATGACGACCTTTTTGTTCAGCAGCCAGCGGCGTGGAGCATGGTACCCAGCTTGGTCTTACCACTGACAGTAATGCTCATGCGATGGAGAGCAGTGGTTGGACATCATGAATCCCTGATGGGAAAAGAGAGTTCAGAAAACAGAATCCTCCCTCTTAAACCATTTATCAGTGGTCTCGTCTCAGTTTTTGCTTCTTGCTTTTCTGTGGAAAGGTGATACTCTTGCACAAATTTCTTATTTCTAATTCTTTGCCCTTCTTATTTGATCCTGATTTGACTTTAATAAGGTATCTAGGGAACAATTTCTTTATGGAATATTTTCCCCCTTAATACATACATAAAAGCTATTCTCTCGAGCTTTTCCTCATGACAGCTGCTCTCAAAAGGTATACTTAGGTTTCAGGGTGTTTTGATCAGCATTATATTCCCGTAGAGAAGTAGCACAGTTGGCCAACACCTGTGGAGCTGACTGGAAAGCGGAGAAGGGACCTGTGGTGTTTTGGTTCTTTTTCCAGTAACAGTGGCCATGGTTTTGCTGTGTGGTTTGATGTTGTGCATCTGACGTCTAAGTTGCATTCCCGCTCTCCCATCTCTCTTATTTTTCTCCTTCTTCTGAACCCACCTGCTGGGCAGGACACTTGAGGTGCAGCCACCTACTTGCTATTTGTAGAAGACCTCAGGGGACAAGTCTTAGCTTTTAATCCTTAGATTAGAGAAAAGGACCCCAGAAAGACTTGCATTAAGTATCTGTTTACCCACAGATACAAAATATTTTACAGACGTCCCCGGTAATGGGACTTCGGGAGAGTAAAGTGTCTTCCGGACCCCAACTGGTGCCACGCTAGCAGAGCTGGGGGTAGGAGCACCAAGGTTTCCTGGCTTTGGAGGTCCTTGGGCTCCATCCTCCCTTGCTGCGGCAGGCAGGAGGTACTCAGCCGTTTGGTTAGATGAACCGGAGAGCAAAAGCAAGCCCGGCACGTGCCGAGGCCGAAGGAGACGGAGGAGGCGGCAGCGCCG